TCACTGGCCACTTTATTAGGGACACTTTGCTAGTACTGGGTTGGACCCCTTTTGTCAGAACTGCTTTAGGGCCTATTCACACCACATCCAGATCATCTCCAGACCAGACCAGTTTTTTTACGGACCCAAAATGCTTCCTAATGTATCCCTATGTTATTTCTGGCCTCTATTCACATCAGCGCAGTCCGTTCCAGACCAGACCATAAAAAGACTCCTTGTCCTATTTTGTCGGGTCTGGAATGCACTGGAACGCATCAAGAACGCACCAAAAACTTCTGGAACGCACCTGTAAGACCATTTTTTAAGCTAAATTTAACGTTTTTTAAATTCCAATTGTGGCAAAATCGCGGTAAATTTGCGGCAAAAATGCAATGTACTATGTTCCAGATCTGGAAAATGGTGTGAACCCAGCCTTAGGGCCCATTCACATCACATCCAGATCTGGTCTGGAATGCACTGGAGCTGCAGACAGGTTCACACCATTTTCCGGAGAAGATCTGGACCAGATCTGGTTTGGAAAATGGTGTGAACCTGCCCTGAATTCTTCATGGCATAGATTCAACAAGGTGATGGAAACATTCCTTAGAGAGTTTGGTCTGTACTGGCATGATAGTATCACACAGTTGCTGCAGATTTGTTGGCTGGGAATCCATGATGCGAAGCTCCACTAGCCTGAACCGATGATACAAGGCCGGATGGATCCATGCTTTCATGTCGTTTACATCAAATTCTGACTGAATGTCGCAACAAAAATCGAGACTCATCAGACCAGGCAACGTTTTTCCAATCTTCTATTTTACAATGTTGGTGAGCCCTTGCAAAGCGTAGCCTTAGTTTCCTGTTCTTAACTGACAGGAGTGGTACCCAGTGTGGTCTTCTGCTGCTGTAGCCCATCTGCTTCAAGGTTCAATGTTTTGTGCGTTTAGAGAAGCTGTTCTGCATACCTCTGATGTAACGAGGGGTTATTTCAGGTACTGTTGCCTTCCTATCGGCTTAAACCAGTCTGCCCATTCTCCTCTGAAATCAACAAGGTATTCTTGCCCAGAGAGCTGCCGCTCACTGGATATTTTCTCTTTTTTTAGACCATTCTCTGTAAACCCCTAGAGGTGGTTGTGTATGAAAATCAACAACCATGCCTTGTTCAAAGTCACTCTAATCCCCTTTCTTCCACATTCTGATGCTCCCTTTGAACTTCAGCAGACCATCTTTGCCATGTCTACATGCCTAAATGTATTGAGTTACTGCCATGTGATTGGCTGATTTAGATATTTGTGTTGAAGAGGTGTACCTAATAAAGTGGCCAGTGAGTGTACACTGATGGGTATATAGGGATAACAATTCAGGGGGTCAGCTCTGGTACAGCACCCCACCAAGAGCATAGATACAGCCAAAGTAGAATGAGGGGCTTTTCAGGTACAACCAGATATACAAAACATGTATCCACTATAAAAGCCATACATTTTTCTTTACATCTATTTCAAACACAAGTATGTTAGCGAAAAGGGATTGAAACCATGCTGGGTGAAAAGAGAACACACAATAGTGTATTACATTCACATATCGCATATAAACCCCATATTCTAGAACTGTACATCATGGGAGAGCATTTGGCTTCGGGACCAGAAGCTCCTTCTCTCAACGCATTTCACTGCTAAGTAGCTTCCTCAGGAGGTCATGGGGACAACACACATGTATACTAAAAACAGTATATAATACAAAATAGTCAAAACATTGTAAAGCAATCATGGAAATACCATATGTTAATATTCATATGTTAACTCCGCACATAAAATAGGCTTGGAGATACATCTGCGCACACTGCCTGGCCAAAAAAAAAGTCACCACCTAAGCTAAGAAAATAGGTCAGATCCTTCTGCTGGGTAATAGGTCTAAGTTCAGCAATGTTATGAGCCCAAAAAATGAGGTCAGCTGCCTACCTCAATATACTGAGTGATCTGGTCTTTCCATCAAAGGATTTTTTCTTCCCTGATGGAACGGTCATATTCCAAGATGACAATGCCAGGATTTATCGGGCTGTGAAAGAGTGGGTTCAGGGAGAATGAGACAG